CAGAGAGACATCTCAATCCTCAGAAGAATTTCCTCTTAAATTATTGCATAGTGCAACACATAAAAGCAGATGCTGGAAGGCAGACTTTGATATAAGCCTTTTTTATAAAGTGTTCTGATGTCCTAAAATATCGGCATGAGCTGCCATGTGGTAAACATTTTGGAAAAATTCTGTTTATTCAGAAATGTAAATAAAAATAGGTGGCCAAATATTTTATTGTCTTGTCAGAAAGAAAACAATTTACATTTCAAAAATTATGCTAAACAGGAGTGAAAGTTGGCTACAGTGATTACACAAAGATTCTTATCTGACTGATGAAGGCTTCATGCCTTCTTGTCATGGTAAAGTGTGTCAGTATTGAGGATGATTATGAGCATGTCTGACTGACTCAAAATGTGTAGATTGATTTCCCTGTAACACACACTAAAGGTGCAACCCATATATACCCCAGATTTTCTGGTCCCACAGATGCCATTTCATATTTAAAGAAAATTCTGAAAAAAAGAAGAAGACTTTTACAGAGCTGCTAGGATAAGTAAGGTTAAGAGAATCACACCACTCACTACTGAGATATGGAGCTCTTCTGGAATAAAGCATGGCAGCAATTTTAATCAGCACATGGATCAGCTCTTTAGAATTAGCAACTGAACAAAATGTCAAACTGTACTACCACGAGGAACTTAGGAGGAAAAATTGTAATTACCACAATTATTTCATCAGAATTAAAACTATTAAATACTGATCCCAAAACAAACAATTTATGAACAGGGAAAGGAGAAACATCAGGGAGTATATCATCTTTCTGATCAGAAACATATAACATAAATACACTAGAAAAAAAACCAAAACATTCAGCAAGATGACACAGGTCTGAAAGTGAGGGAGTCAGAAACTGGTATGAAACCACTGACAGCTTTGCCACCAGACTTCACTGAGGTCAGGATTTTCTCTCTGCACTGCTGATACCCTCAGCTTTCAGGCAAGCTTCCTTAGCTGCAGTACATATTCTCACTCCACAGCTGATACCGCCAGCTTTCCTGCTCTTAGCACCCCGAATTCAGATCAATAAAACCATCAACAAACCACCTAAGTACAGCAAAACCAGTTTGGATCAATGGGATATACTTCTTACCTGTCCCTATATACTTTTCTAAATACTACCAAAAAGGTTCACTTTTCCATTTATGCATTTCATTCTCTAAATAGTCTGAGTGTCTTTCTGTCTTTCTGATCATCACAATCAAGACACAAACACAATATATTTAAGGATATGTTCTTCCCATGACTTTACAGATTCACTTTTCTGGCATGGGGAGCTCATGGAAGGAAGTTTCTTCAAAGTGAAACATGAGAAAGTCAATAAAGCTTATTTACCTTGTAGGGGAAAAAAAAACCAAGCACAACAGCAAAGAATTATTTTATTTCAAAAATAAAAATAAAAAAATAGGAGTCGCTTTGCAGTCTCATAAAAAACTTGCAGATAGCCTGTGATTCTGCATGAGCAGATGTCCTCTCTCCTGTGCACTGTCTAATCACAGCCCTTCTGGACTTAAGTGAAATAATAATAATAAAAAAAAAAGCTAATGGAGTGCAATTTCCACGGAAACTTGGAAGCAGATACCTCATCATTTGCAGAAAGCCTCAGCATTGTGAATGGGAACTAGTGAAGTTTACACAAATCTCAGCTATTATTTTGTTTGCAGTGCAAACTCAGGCCAAATATTTTCTCTCATCTGAAAGATTAGAACAGTCAGTTTTGCTTTCTGTCAGTACAACTGTGCACAAAAGCTGCAGTAAAATGCCTGGTATTTATCTTTCCATGAATCCAAAACCTATACTAGAAAGAAAGAATAATTTGGGCCTCTTTTTTGTTTGTTCATTTCAGAAAATGAAAAGGGCTTAGAAAACACCCCCTGTTTACATGTAACGCTACAGACCAGTAGCCAGCCAGAGCACTGGTAGATATGCCCAAAGTTAATGGACCTTAATTAACACTTCATATTAGCTCAATTAGATACTAACCTCTTATTTTCCACATACCATAGAGAGATCTCTCCAGCTCAGGAACATGTATTCACAGACTAATTACTTATGGATAACTTTCTCAGCTCTAAGTAAATTCCTGACAAAGTACACTTATGAGTCCAGAACCACAGCAATGACTTGTGACCAGAAAATTGGTTCTGGAGCTGTGATGATTACAAGCCAGCTCAGGGGACACCTCTGCAAAACTGGAGCCAGACCTGTACTATGCACAAGGAGGAAGAGTCCAGTGCTCTAATCTCAAGCAGTCTGGCACAGGCTGCACACCCATCTGCTCACCTACTGTAACTGGGTGCTGCATGGACATGCATGCCCTCTACAGCAAAGACATTTTCTGTGGGAGATTCATGTGGACCTCTGAAATGTGGGTACAGTTTGGGACCACATTTGTGCAGAAGATTTGCCTTTAACTGAGGTAACAAACACAGCAAAAAAACTTAAAACTTCCACTGCAGAATCAGTGCAAAGCTGTTGTCTGACAGAGGCTGAACCAGTCATGCCCAAGGAGCCCTGGCTATATTTGAGAGGCATTGTTTAAGGCAAGGGACTGCTTAGTAAGGATTTGGTCTTTAACATAGATTTCCTCACAGCCTGACTGACTGAAGCTTTCTCTTTACAATTTCATAGGCAATTCAAAATGTCACATTGATTTTACACCTGCCTGGCCAAGTGAGATTACAGAGCAAGTCAATCACCTTGCTTCTTAAATGCATTTCCCCTTTTACATCTTGAAAATTCTACTCACTCACTTGTAGCTCATGCAAAGAGGAAGCAGCATGACTCAGCTCCACACTACAATGGCTGGAGCAGATCCAGACCTAGCAATCCTTTGGGCTTTCCTTACCAAAATACAAGTCTGCAGTTTGGATAATGTAAAGCAGCTCATGTTTGCATAAGAAATGTTAGATGGGCAGCATGCCAGCTGCAGTCCTTAACACTGATGGAAAATCATTTTCTGAAGAGTTAGGAAGGGAACAAAAATTGCTGGAGGGCTTTGATCTTAAACAGTGCCTGCAGAAGACAAAATGCTGAAAAGGAACAGCCTCATGAACCGTATGCTGTAGACATGAATTGACTGACCTTAAGGAATCCAGGAACTTTGAGTAAGTTTCAAGAACCCTGAGTACCAGTGCTTTGCCTATATCACTGGAAAAGAATACTCTAAAAATTAGCTACTCTAAAATGTCACTGTCATCTAGAAATTACTCCTCATTCTCTACCATTTTGCTAACACCTGATCCACAGATGTTTTTCATAAAGAGCAATAGTTATTGCAGAGTAAATGATGCACTGTAAACACACTTAACTTCACCATGGAAACTAGCTCTGAGCAAAACTCAGCAAGAATTTCACTTCAGTTCACTCCCTGAATGCACAACAAAGTTAAACCATTTGATGGTTATCTCACAGCAATCTAACCTTAGAGATAAAGACATCAAATCTAAATCTGCTTATTAGATTGATGTTGTACATTCTAGTCCATGCCAAGAAGCTCTGGGCAATGGGATGGATCTGTCTTTTCAGGCACTGGGGGAAATCAGAGATCAGTCATTACTTACATAAATAGGTGTAATACTAGTAATGAAATAATGAAGAAGCATGACCCAAGCTATTTCTCTGAAATGGCCATTTACTTTCTGCAGAGCAACCCACAGTATAACTTGCAAAAAAGCAGTTCTCTGGGCTGTGTGCAGGGGGGAGGACTGAGTAGTATTGGGGAACATGCACCCCACACTAGCCATGGTCTCACTACATTAAAGGAAGGCCAGCAGGCTCCTGGGCTCTGTCTTCATTTCAAAAGATGGTTCATTGAGAGACTTTATGCTTTTAGCAAAGCTTAGAAGCTTTTTTTCCTTATCCCTCCCCAAAATCTTTGGGCATTGTCATATGATTGTACCATAAAACTTGAAGTTTTCCAAAACCAGCTCATGAGAAGTGAACAGAAACATCTCTTTTCATTCCAAAGGAAAAACAACTCCTATGCTGTTTTCCTAAGTGAGCTGAAAACTTGGAGAGGAACCTAAAGCTAAAAAAAGCAAAGAACTCAGGAAGATTCATATTCTGGACTGCGGTTTCTGCTGCCTTAGCTCAAGGGAAAATATGTTCATGGGAAAAGGACCTGCCTGGAGCCAGATTTTTTCAACTCTGACTTCTCTAGTTGGAGTGCCTTTAAATCATCATGTTGATGTTAAAGTTACTTCTTCATAAACAAAAATATTCTTTTAGGGACTGCATGATAGTTGCCTACAATTGAAACAATCACTTGTGCCACGTTTCCTAGCAATCAGCATGTAGTTCATCTCCTGTCAACCCTGAAGAGACCATGATCGGGCAATTTAAGAGGCCTTTACACAATGTTAGTTCTGAGTTTCACTGATTCTAAGTGCATTTTCCCCAAAAGAGAGTTTCTGAATTCATCCCAGAACAAAGAAGGATCAGCTTTATCACCTACTGTTTGCATCTACACACAACTAAAGAAAACTACATCGCATCTTAGAAAACCAGAAATCTTGCATGGCTTAATTTGAAAGAATTTTACTGTCATGTTGTTATGGACCACCTTTAATACTGCAATTTACTTTTGTCTTTAGCCAGGACTAAAACAGATAACAAATACAATTGAATTCCACACTACCCCTGTAAAGACCTGCCTACAGACAAAGCTGCCACAGGCAATTCAGAGCATTTGTAATTGTCTGTGTAAAACTGCAACACGTTTAACAAAATGTGACCCTGCTGCCCAAACAAGGCGTGATTATGATCTCCATTATCCACTTGAATTGTCTTCTGCTCTGATTAAATTTATGAGAAGAGTTAAAAGTATCTAACATGGTCTTTTTTTGAGGTTCCTCAAGACTTTTTGGGGTGGTCCAGTAAGCTTTCACTGACCTTTCAAGTAAACTTCACCCCCTATTTGAAACCACAATGAAATGATGATATAAATGAAATCTGATTACCTGTGATCAATGACTGTTACATCAGAAGCAGGAATCCCCAGCAGGAAACAACTCTGCTCTAGCTCCTTCTTACGAACCTCTCCTTGATTGTAATAATTTCCTGAAAAGAGCAAACACAGCAACATTATCTAACTTAGTTTAGGTTAGCTTGGAAAAACTTCCTCTTTTCTTTCTGAAAGCACTAAGCCTGAGCATCCACCTGAACTCCAAGGGCACCTTTTGAGGAAGGGGTGCATCACAGAGGAAAAACCTCACAGCTTATCTACCAGAGCAACATCTGGTTTAGCTCGGCCCAAAATGAGGCCAAGTCCTGCCCACCTGGCCTGTATTCCTCACCTTTCTGCACTGTCTCTTGCAGCTCTTCACAAGCTTATTTAGCAACAACACCTGAAATTGCCAAGTCTGGTCAGATCAACTGTCCCAACAGCCCAGTACCCTCATTCTAAGAGTGGCCCAAGTCAAATGCTTCTGCCAAAGACACTGGAAATCTTCCATAAATACGATTCTGGAATAACCTGCTTGGGAAACTGCTTCTAACCACCTGTTTGATTAGCCGATGTCACATTCACACAGGAGAAACTGCCATTGCAGTGAGGTGCCTCTGGCAAATTTCCAAGTGGTCTCTGTGAAAGAGGTTAGTGAGATCTTAGTCCCTTACTCTTTCTTAGCATCAGCCACACAAAGTCCAGGCCAGTGCTGTGATAGCCCTTTCCAGAATGTTGCCCTGTGCAGGGCAGTACTTGCAACCCAATTTTAACTCTGAAGCAATAAAATTAAAACAATACAGCTGAGTATTAATGGATGATTCAAGTCTGTAGTCAGCTGTCTTGAATTACCCTAAGAACTTTTTGATTGTTGTGGGTGAGAGTCATCCAAATCTAGCATTTCTCTCAAGCAGTGTTGCAATCTGGGCCACCACTACCAAGCTTTGTAAGATTTTCAAAGAGGGAAAAAATAACTAGAGGGAAAAAAAAAAAAAAAAAAAGCCTCTACTTGCAGACTGTCAGTGAGAGGTTGTAGGAGACCATGGCAATGATTATCTGTGGGTTTGCTGAGGAACACATCAGTTTGGTAGTTTGTGACTTAGATTACAAGTTCCAGCTCCAGTAAAATTAATTTAAGTGGGTACCAGGTGGATGACATGAGTGCAGTGGGGCTTATTTTAGCCTGATTTTGTGCAAGGCCATTAAAAACACTAGTGTTTTAGGATAACTTCTCTTCCACTGCAAGGAGGTAACAGGGGACTGCAGGTGGTGTTTTATCCCAGTTATACCACTGTTCTTAAAATACCAAAAAAAATGAACTCAGAGGAACAGATCCATGTTCCACAGCTTGAAAAATGTGTCAGGACATCAGGAATATACAAATGCTAACAAGAAAAAATAGGAAGCTATTGAGGGCAAAAGCTCTGAACAGCTGATGCTGCTGCACCCCATGCATGGAGCACTGACAATAGAGAGTCAGTGACTACAGGGAGCAAAGCACATTTAAACAGTCATTATTTCAATGAAAGATTACTCAGTGTGTAAAAGATTGATTTTTTTCCACTGTGTTGTAATTCTGATTCATTTCTATGTCATTTTGATTGACATCTGAAAACTGCAAGTACAAGACTTTCCAAGTAATGACTTTGTCTCAGTGATGCAATTTGCAGCCTTTGATCATCTCCCTTGTCAGCATCAGTCATACAAACAACAAGAGGATGAACCACCTGAACAGCCCTGAAGAACAATGAGAGGCAGAGAAAAATCTACGAGCTCAGTAGCTGGGCTGCTGCTCCGTGGTGAAGAGGGTACAGAGAAGGCAAGATTAAATATACTTAATGGTTCATGTCACTGAATGACAAGCCAAGAACAAATAAAATTAAACAAAATAAACAGAATCACAAAACTTCTTTGGAAAGTTCTCCAATAGCAGGAGTGTATTTGTCCCCCAAACTGAAATGGCAGAGTTGCACTTCAGTAGCTGTGAAAAAGCCAAATGGGGTCCATAGGCCTTTGTCCCTCAGCAAAGACAACTGAAAGCTCTGCACTAAGCCTTGAATGGGAGGGCCAGAGCCATAAGTAAAGCCATGACACCACTGGCCTGCAACAATGGCTTAATCCCCTTCTTCTCACCTAGATGCTCTGTTGTAACAGCAAGCTTTGAAAACAAAGAAGACAGAAGTTGGCAGGGAAGTAGCTGGAGGTTTCAAAAAACCAGAAGGTCTGTTTCCCAAGTGTTAAGTAGTTTTCAGGGTGAGAAGTAAGTTTGTGGCCTAAGATACTCCTCTCAACATTTTATAAAATTATTTAGTTTTCACCACAGGCTCATGAATTCTGGTGTAGCAGCATGGTCAGAAAGATCAGTTAAGATGAGGTTGTTTCTTATGTTTTTTATTCTTAGTAGATCACAAGAACGTAAGACAAAAATGTCATGTGCTGTGAGAAATTCTTGTCCAGGCAAACAAGAATCTTTCCATTTTGTTCAGCCCCAGAAAGGCCTCAGGGGGATCATTGCTTCCAGGTGTTGATCACTGCACTTCAAGATAGATGTGAATCAACTGGAAGAGTCCAAAGAATAGTGATGAGGATGAGCAGATGTTTAGAAAACATGATCTATGACAAAAGACTGCAAGAAATGGGGTTGTTTAGTCTGGAGAAGATAAGACAGAAGAAGCAGATAACAGCCTTAAAATATGTAAGAGGCTGCTACAAAAGGACAGCCTGATTTCCATGTTCTTGGCACATAGGAAAAATAAACAAACAAGCTTAAATTACACCGATAGTTCAGGAAAAAAGGGATGTGAAGAAAAGCTAATGCAGCACTGACACAGACCACACAGGCTGAGGAACCTCCCTGGAGGTTCTGCAGAACAAACTTGACATCTGTTCGCAGCAGGTGAAGAGACACTGATGCTGCCTTCGAGGCAACGTATGGACCAACGACCTCAGGTTCCCTTCAGGCCTCATTTTCCAATACTGGATTGCGACACAACCGTTACTTTTAGACGTGTGTCAGTGAACGTCCCACTATGACATGAAAACCGGATCATCCAATCCAGCGACAGAATTCCACGGAGATGCCAACGGGCACAACTTACTGACACTGTCCCACAGCTCGGAACCCCCCAGCGCTGTGACGGGGCCGTGAGAGGCTGGGATAGCGGTGGATTTTGCTGCTGAAGCCGCAGAAAGTGACGCTCTGCCCCACGCCGCCCCACCCGGGACACGCAGGGCGCTGGGCCGGGCGCCGTGACCCCACCAGGGCCGGACACACCGGGCCCCGCCGCCCCGGCCCCGCAGGCCCTGAGGGGCAGCACAGCCGTGACGTCACGGGCGGCACCACGGCGACGTCCCGGCCGCGGGGGGGCCC